CACCTGCTAGTCATATATATACCCTAATTTTTGTTCATGAAGAGGTAATGAAGAATAGAGTTTGAGTCTAGTATTCTATATTTGTTCTGTATCTGTTTTTTATTTGCTTCTTCTGCATAGTTTGCTTCAGTTTAGTATCAAAGCTTGGCAGCATGCCAAAATGCAGCAAGCGTGGGACTGGTGACGATGATCACAGTCTAGAAGCCCTATGTGACACACACTATATAGTACTCACTCTCTGTTGAAGTGAGGTGAGAGTTTTAATCCATTAAAATAGAGTTAGAATAGCATCAAACAACTCAATTGACAATGCAGGCACCTATACCTGCTGCCAGATGTAGATGGGATCTAGGTCTAGATCACAGACGAGATCACATAGCATCAGAAGTTACTTATTCAAAAGAATAGGTAGGCAATTTTTATCCAGAAAATCTTTCTGAGTCTGAGAGCGAATGTGATTAACCGCGAAATCTGAGACATGGTCTCCATGAGTAGCCTAGAGGTGACTTTCGATTGAAGATGGATATACCATTATTTGATGGTCGATTATACATCGAAGATTATTTAGACTGGAAACATGCTATTGAAGCGTTATTTGAATACATGTAAATAGAACTAGAAAAACAAGTTATGTATGTTGCATGTCAACTCAAGGGAAGAGTTAGAGCCTAGTAGCTTCAATTCTTACAATGTAGAAGGCGTGAAAGCTAGGGGAAGGTTCGAAGCTAGTATATATTGAAGTAGCTTCTCCACTCTCATAGACTTTGAGCAAATGTTATATCTTAAGTATCAGCATTGTACACAAGAAAGTTGATCTGTTAGCAATTATACTGAAGAATTTTACCATTTGCGTGCATGCAATAATATGAAGGAAATCACAAATTAGCTAGTTTCTAGATATAATGGTGGTTTAAGTGAGATTCCATTCAATATAAATTAGTGCTTCGTTTTGTATAGACATTGTATCAGACAGTTAATTTTGCACTAAAAGCTGAAATTCTACCAGCCAAGCATTCTCAAATCCAATCTTTCTGCATTATGTATTTAGAATCACCTCTTGATGCCCTTAAAACTCCTCTAAAAATCTCCAAATAGATGCTGACCCAGCCAAGTTCAATCACATAGAACACAGTAATTTCTGCTCCCACGGACCCCAAAGGATAACAAAAATCCAAGACTCAGCTGAGGAAAAATTAGTATGATAAACCTCCTACAATCAAATGTTTTCATTGCTTCCATCTTGGTCATAAATCAAATGAGTGTCCATGGAGGCAACAAATTTAGTTGCTAGAAGCTGAGGCTAAAGATGAACTAGAAAACTATGAAAATGACAAAGAAGTAGAAGCGAAATATATGATTGGGGATGAGGGGGAGTAGCTTATTTGCGTCCTAGAAAAAAAAAATTGTTGGCTCCTAAACAACTAACTAATTCATAATGTAATACAATCTTTTGAACTAAGTGCACAGTTAATGGCAAGGTTTATCAATTATTGATTGATAATGGTTGCACAGAAAATGTGGTGTCCCAATCTATGGTTTAAGCATTGCAATTAAAAACTACAAAAAAAATCCCAACATTACAAAATAAGTTGTGTAAAAAAAGCCATAGATATTTTAGTTTTAGAGATGTGTCGCCTCACATTTTTCATAGGGAAACAATATATAGGTGAGGTTTAGTGTGATGTGGTAGACATGGATGTATGTTATTTGATATTGGGGAGACCATGGCAATTCGACGTGGGCGCTATTTATGATGGAAGGTCTAACACTTATTCACTGGAATGGGAAGGTAGGCTATTGAAACTTTTATATCAACCAATAGACAGCCATGTGAATCCTAAGGAAAAATATGTAATGCAAATAATCATGGGACCAACACTTTTGAATGTCCGGAAGGAAACTTCTATCATGTTAGCTTTAATTGTGAAAGAGCAAGCTGAAAACAATGATCATATGAACATTCCAGTAGCAGTGACAAAACTTATTCAAAAATTTCCAGATATACTACCAAAAACACCACCATTCTCTTTACCATCACTAAGAGTGCTTCAACACCAAATTGATTTTATTCTGAGATCGATATTACCAAACATTCCATACTATCGTATGATTCCATAGGAGAAAACTATAATGTAAAAAATTATTGATGAATTGTTGGAAAAAATAACTGATTCAAACGGGCTTATGCTCTTGCGCAGTGACTGCATTACTAGAGCCAAAAAAATATTGTAATTGGTGGATGTGTATGGAAAGCTGAGCAATTAATAAAATTACTATAAAATTTAGATTTCCTATTCCAAGGGTGGAAGAGTTATTGGAAAAATTAGTTAGTTCTACAATTTTATCAAAGATCGATCTTCATAATGGATATCACCATATTAAGATTAATCCTAGAGATGCATGGAAGACTGCTTTTATAACTCCCCAAGGATTATTTGAATTGACAGTCTTACAATTTGGACTTTGTAATTCCCCATCCACATTCATGAGATGATGAATGGAGTTTTAAAACATTTCCTCAATAAGTTATGTGTTCCTACTTTGATGATATCCATGTCTATAGTTTGAATTTGAGTGATCACATCAAGTATCTAATAGCTCTTTTTGAAACATTTAAATAGAAAAAAACTATATTTAAATCAATTCAAACTCCTATTTGGTATTTATTGTGTTTCATTTATGAGTTTTCTCATTTTATCTAAAGGAATTCTAGTTGATCAGAAGAAAACAGCAGCCATCGTCAATTGGTTAGTACCAAAATATTTGTCTGACATTAGAAGCTTCCACAATTTGGCTAATTTTTATCATAGATTCATTAAAAGATTTAGTGTGATCATGGTTCCAATCACGGACTACTTAAAATGGAAGCATTTTCTATGGACTAAAGACCAACAACGTTGTTTTGAGGCTATCAAAACCATGCTTTCTACTACCTCAATTCTTACACTTTTGGTTTTAACAATACCTTTCATGTACATACAGATGCTTCTTCAATTGGAATTAGAGCTATCTTAAATCAAGAAGGGCGACCCATAGAATTCCTTAGTGAAAATTTGTGTGATACTCAGAAACAATGGACCATATATAAACAGGGGTTATATGCCATGGTGCGTGCGCTAAAGTATTAGGAGAATTATCTATTGCATCAAGAATTTGTTTTATGGAGTTATCATAAGGCATTACAATAAATTAATAGTCAAAAAACTATTAATTGCATGCACACCCATTAGATATTGTATTTATAGTGATTCACTTTTGTTCTGAAGCACAAAATTAGTGTTGAAAATATAGTGGCTGATGCACTTAGACATTGTAACGCGCTCCTCATTCAACTTCAAATAGAGCTAGCAGGTATGGAATGCCTCAAGGAGCTCTATTCCAATAATAAGGACTTCCAGAACATTTGGCAAGCATGTCTCCATGACAGTTATACATGTGAATTTTCTATTCGCCATGGTACCTTTTAAAAAAAATCTATTATGCATACCAAATTCATTTTATCGCCATCAAATTATCAAGAAATTTGATAGTTGTGGATTATCTGATCATCTTGGATGCAATAATACGATTGCACAGCTGCAAACTCAAATTTATTGGTCACAACCGCACAAAGATGAAACACGCTTTGTTGAACGTTGTAGCATTTGCCAAAATTACAAAGACGCAACCAAAATACTGGTTTGTATCTTCCATTATCTGTACCTAATACAATTTGGGAAGATGTGAGTTTAGATTTCGTCCTGGGTTTACCTCGCACTAAATAGGGCAATGACTTAATCATGGTGGTGGTTGAAAAACTTTTGAAAATGGTACACTTTATTGCTTGAAAAAATGTTTGATGCTCTTAATATTGTCAAATTATTTTTTAGGGAGACTGTGCGGCTTCATGGCATTCTAAGGAGCCTTACATCGTTGATGGAGTTAAATTTATTAGCCATTTATGTTGTGAATTATGGAAGCATTTACATACAAATATTCAATTGAGCTCGGCCTACCACAACAAACTGACGGCCAAACTGAATTCATCAATAGCACTTTTGGTAATATGTTATGTTGCTTGGTGCAAGAGCATATGAACTTTTGGAATGATCTTTTACGACAAGCTGAATTCGCTGCTAATACTATGTCTAATCATTATGCAAGTAAGTGCCCCGTTAGTATAGTTTATACTAAGTTGCCTAATCACACTATAGATGTTGTTATGCTTCCCAAATGCAAGAGTATAACTGCTGTGTCATTAGCATACCAATTTTACACCATGCTTACTGATGTTCACAACAGGATAGCATCCTCCAACAGTAAATATAAACAAGCTGCAGATCAGCACAAGCGTGAGCAGTTTTTTCTTGTCGGGAGACTTACACCTGGTACATATTCTAAAATTAGCAGGCAGATGGTTGGTCATATACCCATTTTGATTAAGATTAATGACAATGCATGCTTATATTGTCGATTTGCCCACCAAATTTAATACATTAATTCTCTATCTTAAATGTGGCGAACATAATTCCATACTATCCACCCGATGAGGCTCCAACTACTGCTTCACTGCTGCATAATAGCTCTTCCTCGGCTAGGGAGATATGATGCGGAGCATCATAGCTATGTTTCGCTTCAAGACTATCTTACCATTACTTTATTATTATTATTATTTTGTTATTTCCTTATTATTTTTGTTTTGATTAGTTGCTGCATTTCCCTTTCTGTTAGTACTATAGTTTCACTTTTTGTCGTTTTGTCCTTTTGATTGTAAAAGATGTATGTTGGTTGCATCTGCTAGTCATATATATACCCTGATTTTAGTTCAGGAAGAAGTAATGAAGAATAGTATTTGCTTTATGAGTATTCTCTGTTTGTTCAGTATCCATTTTCTATTTGCTTCTTCTGCATAGTTTGCTTAAGAATTTCTATGATCCAAATAGTGAAATAGAATACCTCACTTTAGAGAATTAATATATTTAATTATATTATATAATATTTAATAAAAAAAGGCTCAAATACAAATATGTTACAAATTATCCAAAATTATTCATCTTCGCTTCACAAAAGTAGAACTAGCAGAGTAATATTTAACAGTTGATGAGAGGGAGGCCGACAGCTGTGATGATGAGAGTTGATGGAAGTCCAAAAACAAGATGACTCCAAAATGAGAGTGTGTAACCATATAACTGTGATCTTCTTGCTTGCTCACAGACTATAAGATTTGCAGCTGAACCAAGAAGTGATAGGTTGCCTGCCACAGTACTAACCCAAGCCAGAATGAGCCATGCTCGTGGGACGGTGGCCGACGATATCGCCGCCGCAGATTTTGCCACCTGGACTCCTAGAAGGAGAACTGAAACAATGATTTATTAGATGAATATTAGCTTGTAATGCACAACTAATATCATATGTAAAACAATTAATTCTAATATGTTGTGTATGTTTTCTTTTTTTTCATATTTTTTTTGAAACAGGGTTATCTACCCGCTGCCGCTCTAAAAGGAGAGCTTCGCAGCGTAACTAATGTCTTCAACCAAAAACAAAAATATTTTCATGAATATAAGTGATTATCCCTCGTTAGAGATAATGTCTTCCAAAAAGAACTTTCAAACATATTTCTTTGAAAATTTTGGATATCCTTACCAAAATTTTGATCAAGATATGCCATATTTATGCTTTATGATTAGTGGACTAGGCAGATATTTAATATTTCATAAATCTCTTAACAAATCGAAGGACTTGGAGCCCCATACTGATCGACTTTCCTGTCAAGATATATTGCCGCACATTTTTTTCAACTCTGATTAAACATATAGAAGGAATATTTAGCAAATTACATGTTTTATGAGACATATATATAAAGCCAAAATTTTCCTTTGAAGACCCATATCTTATTTTCTTAGAAACATTTTTAAACCATTTTATTTTGATTTGAAAAATTTAATCATCTTGCCCTTTTTCTCTTTGTTAGGATATTGCCAGACTTATTGAACATTTTGTTTTGCCCTTTTTCTCTTTGTTAGGATATTGCCAGACTTATTGAACATTTTGTTTTCCATAGTATAACTAAGCTATGCCCTCAAAAGGAGTCAAATAAATAATAATATTAGTTTACATTAATAATAATCATTGAAAATAAGATCACAGTGATGCTAAAAGGTTCCTATTAAAATGAAAAATGTCTGAACTGACAATAGACTCTGCCTATCCCAATTTATTTTTCTCTAGTTCATATGTAACAGGAAAAGATGGAAATATTTATCTAGAAGTGTTGAATTTAAATGAAAATCGAATAGAGATCACAATCAACCCTTCGTTTATGGAGAAATTATTCTGTGCAGAATCCAGACGAGAAGAATTGTCCTGACTGTGAGTGTACACAGCGTGTATATTAATTTGATACACACTGTGTACAAATATGTACACAGTGTGTACACTCACAAGTCAGGACAGTTCTTCCCGTCCGGACCCCATACAGAATAATTTCTCTCAATTATGATATCATCTATACTGCTAAAAGCAAAACATATAATTAATTTGATTGCAAATTAGCATAATAATGCCAAATTTGTGCATTTGGAAAGCAAAACTAAATTGAGAAAACATTAACAAAGTCATATATATTACCAGTTGGTACGTTGGAGGCCAAGTTTGATAGGAGAAGTATAACAAGAGAGAGCACAGCCATTCCACTAGCATGATTGATCCTTGCATGTGGTTCCATGAAGTTCCAGAAAACACTAGGTATTCCTGTTTTGTTGAATCCTTCTACTGTGATGAACATTCCGCAGAAGAATATCAAAAGAGAATATGAAACCTGTAGCAAGTTTGGGAACAAGAACATGTCATAATAATATTAGAAATACTGATAAATTAGAAATTTCAAGAGATGTTTGGCTATGTTGAAGGTTTTGTTTGAAGTAAGGTATTATAAAATTTTATCTTAATTATCATTTGAGTCTTCTAATTAACGATGTATCTTATGTGATTACAACCTTAAGTTTTATGGTGGAATTCTTGTGGCCATAGATTTGGTAGAAACTTATTGAGTTTTTTTTTTTTTTTTTCCTTTTAAGTGGATTATTTTCTACCCATGGGTAGATGCCTAAGTATTGTCCAAAGTAATTAGTGCCATAAATTTTTCTCAGAATATGAAAAAGATTGCTTCAAATGTGATTGAATTTTGATTCAAATGGAGCTCAAATCAAATTTAAGGAGCCAATTAATGAGCAAAAACCATCATATCAGATTTCACTTGAATCAATATGCAACTCATCCTGATTTGTTTGCTGGGAGCTTTGGCTACCAACTAAGATAGCTTAGGTTCGAAGCTTGCGTATGTGTTGTGTGTGAGCCTTAACTGGCCCAAATATCCCAAAACAAATGTTGGATCAGATTAAGCTAACTTCAATTTGGATTAAATTTTATATACACATATAATGCATTTTCACATATTTGTGTCAATTTTTGAGTAAGAATCTATTGTAGCGAATAAAAAGTTTATAAAAATTGAATCGTTTCTTTGTTTTAATCAAGCCAAAATCAAAGTTAATTAGTTAGTAAGTCACTATCAATCAAGCAAATCATTTAAAGGATCGGAGTTACTAAATCAATCTCTTCTCAACATAGCATGAGAAATTGACAATTGTTATTTGAAATCATCTTAGTAAAGTTATATTTGAATAAATTTTTCTAAGGATGTTCACCCAATAACAATGCTCATCAGCTCAAAATGAAGTTATCATAGACTTCATTCAAGAACTTTCATTCTTAAAGATATCATCCTATTTTTGGAGCTTATCATGATATATGTACATAATGAGATGGCTACGACTAGCTAGATTTAGGCTTTGTTTGGGACGTCTTTTTTCTATCTTCTTAAAGCAGTTTTCTAATATAAAAATTTTAATTTTTAAACTAGAAAGTTGTTTTAAGAAGCAATAAAAAATCCGTCCCAAACGAAGCCTTAAACTTCGTATAGGAAAACTTTTTATTGCTTTCTAAACAGCTTTCTAATATAAAAAATTATAATTCAAAAAAATTTTGTACTAAAAAACTACTTATAAATTAATAAAAAAACTATTCCAAACCAAGTCTTATTTATTAAGGACTAATTAAATCTTATTGTATAAATTTATTTATGTATTGCTTATCTTGTATATTTTATATTGACTCAAGTTTATAAATAGTGGATCAAAGGTAAATTCTGACTCACAAAATTCTATACTTTCCAACAACAATATAATGATATCCCAAACTTCTCTCCCTAGTCTCCTTTCTCTCTCATCTTTTTTCTCTCTCATCTTTTTTCTCTCTCATCTTTGTCTCTTTGGCATGGTCTATACACAGAAGTGTTGGAGGCCAAGTTTGATAGGAGAAGTATAACAAGAGAGAGCACAGCCATTCCACTAGCATGATTGATCCTTGCATGTGGTTCCATGAAGTTCCAGAAAACACTAGGTATTCCTGTTTTGTTGAATCCTTCTACTGTGATGAACATTCCGCAGAAGAATATCAAAAGAGAATATGAAACCTGTAGCAAGTTTGGGAACAAGAACATGTCATAATAATATTAGAAATACTGATAAATTAGAAATTTCAAGAGATGTTTGGCTATGTTGAAGGTTTTGTTTGAAGTAAGGTATTATAAAATTTTATCTTAATTATCATTTGAGTCTTCTAATTAACGATGTATCTTATGTGATTACAACCTTAAGTTTTATGGTGGAATTCTTGTGGCCATAGATTTGGTAGAAACTTATTGAGTTTTTTTTTTTTTTTTTTCCTTTTAAGGGGATTATTTTCTACCCATGGGTAGATGCCTAAGTATTGTCCAAAGTAATTAGTGCCATAAATTTTTCTCAGAATATGAAAAAGATTGCTTCAAATGTGATTGAATTTTGATTCAAATGGAGCTCAAATCAAATTTAAGGAGCCAATTAATGAGCAAAAACCATCAGGTCATATTTCACTTGAATCAATATGTAACTCATCATAGTTTATTTGCTGGGAGCTTTGGCTACCAATCAAGAGAACTTGAGTTTAAAGCTTGAGTATGTGTTGTGTGTGTGGGAGCCTTAGGCTTCGTTTGGGACGGCTTTTTTATTGCTTTTTAAAATGGAGTTGTAGTACAAAATTAAAAAGTTTTGTACTAAAATTTCGTTTTAGAAAACAATAAAAAAGCCGTCCCAAACGAAGCCTTAATTGGCCCAAATGTCCCAAAAAATATTGGATCAGATTAAGCTAACTTCAATTTGGATTAAATTTTATATACACATATAATGCATTTTCACATATTTGTGTCAATTTTTTAGTAAGAATATATGGCAGTGAATAAAAAGTTTATAAAAATTGAGTCATTTCTTGTTTTAGTCAAGCCAATATCAAAGTTAATGAATTAGTAAGACATCATCAATTAAGAAAATCATCTAAAGGAGTTACTAAATCAATCTCCTCTCAAAATAGCATGAGAAATTGATTTGAAATCATCTGAGTAAAGTTCTATTTCTGAATGAATTTGTCAAAGAATGTTCACCCAATAACAATGCTCATCAGCTCAAAATGAAGTTATCATGGACTTCATTCAAGAATTTTCATTCTTAAAGATATCATCTTATTCTTGGAGCTTATCATGATATATCTACATAATGAGATGGCTACGGCTAGATAGATTTAAACTTCGTATGAGATAATTTTTTATTGTTTTGTAAAACTGTTTTTTAATATAAAAAATTCTGTATCAAAAAAATTTCATACTAAAAAACTACTTTAGAAAGTAATAAGAAAGCTGACCCAAACGAAGCCTTATTTAATAAGAAGCGCTTATTAAATCTTACTATTAAAATTTATTTATGTGTTGCTTATCTTGTGGTATTTTATATTGACTCAAGTTTATAAAGAGTGGATCAAAGTTAAATTCTGACAAATTCGTTCTATCACAAAATTCTATACTTTCCAACAACAATATAATGAAATCCCAAAACTTCTCTCTTTTGACAAATTCGTTCTATCACAACAGTGAGCTTCTAGGGTCACCCATAAATAAATTTGAATAAAAAAAGAAGACTTAAACTTAACTAAAAAATGTTTGCATGATGATTTCATCAAATGATTCTTATGAGATTTCTTATGGTGAACAATACCAAAATTACTTCCAAAAAAAAAAAAAAAAAGAAAAGAAAACTCTCAGAGAAGCACTATAACTTCATGGAATCATTTGTTGTTTGAATAGCATGAAAATCTAAGAGCCCCTAAAATCATGAATGAATCACATGTTGCTAAAATAAGGATTAAAATTATCTTTAAATCATATAAAATCGCTATAATTACCTTATCAAGACAAGGCCCAGCATCCCTGAAATCAATAACAATGAGAGCAAGTGCAGCAGTAATTGCAGTCCATGACATGTTAAGCCCAATCAACAAAGCAGTCAACATCCCAATTGTAACCAAATATACACACCCTTTCAAGAACAAAGCCTTCCTGCTTAATTGCTTTTCTACATCAGCCCCAACCATTAAAGTTGTCTCTCTCACAACACTAAGCTGAATGTTGTTCTTTTCTCCTTCATCTCCACCAACCTCCACTTGAGAATTCTGATTTGAATGGTGAGACATTCTTGCAGGAGAAAACTTATGAAATACTACTTCTCCATCCACCACTGCTTCATCAACAGCCTCTTCTTCATCTTTCATAGATGACAAAGATTTCCAAAACATACACAACAGAATAGTTGTGTTTATGAATATTCCAACAATCATTGCAGGTAGGATTCCCATTAAGAATTTTCCAAAGGAGATTTTACTCTGAACTGCAATGACTAAGTTCTGAGGATTACCAATGGGAGTTGTGGTAGAACCAATATTGGCACTTGAGGCAAGAGCAAGCAGAAAAGGCTTTGGTGGAAGGTTATTTTGCTTTGCAAGCTTGAGGACAAACTCAGTTAAAACAATGCAGGTGGTGTCATTTGTGAAGAGAGCACTTGAGAATGCTGAAATGATGCAGATTCTGCAAAGCAAGTCTCTACCACCTTTGGATTTCCAGGAAAGAAGCTGACTCAAGTACTTAAACATGTGGGCTTTCTCAAGGTAAATGCTAACAACCATGGTTCCAAATAGGAGGCTAAGAATAGGCATGTCAATGGAGGAATAAGCTTGTTCAGGTGATATGACATGGAAAATGACCATGAGCAGGGCACCGAGTAGCGAGCCTGCGGTTCTTCCAATTGGAAGGAAAGGGACTGCTGGGAAGACGGCCATTATCCAGAATATCCCAAATGAAATCGAGCCCAGTACCACCTCTGTTGTGGCTGCAAGGGCCATTTTGTACTGATGATTAAGAATGGTTTACTTCTTTTCTAAGTCTATGCCTAGTCCTAACACCTTCAGATGGGTCTCCTAAGATCAATTCGTCAGGATGATCTAAATTGCAGTTGCAGTTTGCCAGAAGGACTACTTAGATGGTTTGTTTCCAATAGCGAATCAAGGAAGTCTAAAAAGTCTTAGTTAGGAAACTTCAGTTGGTAAGATAGAGCTGGAAGATGGTGAAGGACTGAAACCAACGATATAAGAAAATTTAAGGATCAAAACATTAGATGCTACTCTTATGATTTTGATGAAGCTTCTTTGCAGCTTGAAGGAACCTGACTGCTGCAAAAGAAGGAATTAAGTAGTTTGAAAACACTTAAATTTTCTCTGCTGCAAAAATAGTTATACTACTAAAAATATATTAGCTTGAAAGCGTGGACATTTTTATTGCAACAAAGAGGAAATATTGAGCTTTTAAACCAAGATTTTTTTTCACAAAGAGAGAGATTCACAGAGAATGTGGCGATGTTGCTTGGAGAAGTAGAAGCATTGGTTGTTTGCTGCAATTTCCTGCTTCCTTGATGTCCTTATATAGAATGTTGAGGCTTATAAATTGTGAAAGTGGAGTGCTGTTTATTCTGTGCTGTATTTTGGAAGATTTGATAGAAGCCATGATTAGTAATTTATCCCCAATGGTATTAGATATTTATCTTCGTTGTAAATAATTTTTTATGTTTCCAAATGTTCGGTATTAGCTCAGCTTTCTTGGCAAGCTTCCATTCTTACATAAAGGAGTGTAATGCATGACAACTACTGATATAATAGTTGTTAAAATTTTAAATTGAACGGATTATAAAAAGCTATGTTATAAAAACATTATCCGGTTAAGTGTTATGCCCATGGGATGCCCATTTTAAGCAGCCACTAGAAGAGATTATTAATATCCTAAAGGTCCATACATTTGGTTGCTTGCAGACAAAATACACGTTTTAGAAGTTGATTAGTTAAATATTTACTTTATTTATATTGTGTATAGAAATTGATGATTATGTTACAAGTTTTAGTGGAGTTTAAACTCACATTTTTCTACTTATATTGACGCCGACACAGTGATAAAATGAAAGATCAGTTATCGGTACAAACCCAAGGAACAGGCAAATACCTCTTCCTTCGAATTCCATCCTCCGAACTCCTTCGTCTGGCTAGAATGCGATCACCACCTCTTCCTTCGAATTCCAGCCTCCGAACTCCTTCGTCTGGCTAGAATGCGATCACCACCTGTAACAAACAGGATACAGAAACGAGACTCTAAAACAGAGTGTATTAATTTTCAAATCTCCAAAAGCTATCTCCCGCCTACAATCAGGGATTATTTATAGTGTTTTCTTATGGCTACAGGATTAACGAATATACGAAAGAAAGAAACACATAACGCTACACACTGAGCACTATAAGGAACACTCCGGTGTCATTCCCCCGGAGTAAGAGAGCTGTCAAGTTCATAATGAGGCGTTAAGTCAGCTACGTTGAAAGTAGCTGAAATATTGTAATCGCCGGGGAGATCAATCTGGTAGGCATTATTGTTGATCTTCTTGACGATGCGAAAAGGACCATCAGCTTTTGGACTTAACTTGGCATAGGCTCCGCGGGGAAAACGTTCTTTGCGTAGATAAATCCACACCAGATCACCTTCTTTAAACTCCAACTGTCGTCTAGATTTATTGGCTTGTTTCTGGCATTTTCGATTATGATTAGCAATGGTTTCCTGGACTTGCTTATGCAACTGTTGAATTTCCTGGCTTCGTTGTTCTCCATCGACGCTAAAAGAAGCTCGGGGTATAATAGGTACTAGATCCAAAGGCGAGAGAGGATTATACCCATATGCAATTTCAAAAGGAGTTCGTTTCGTTGCCTGATTTACAGAACAATTGAATGCGAACTCCACTTGAGCTAACACGAGATCCCACTGTCTAATGTTCTTGCCTACAAAGCACCGTAAGAGATTGCCTAAACTGCGATTGACAGTCTCGGTTTGGCCATCCGTTTGAGGATGCGCTGCTGAGCTGAACTGTAATCGAGTACCAAATTTTCCCTAGAGAGTTTTCCAGAAGTGACTCAAAAACTTTACATCACGATCAGAAGTAATCGTCTTCGGTATCCCGTGAAGTCGAACGATCTCTCTAAAAAAAAGATCGGCGGTGTGTGTAGCATCGATCGTCTTTGTACACGGCACAAAATGCACCATTTTGGAAAAACGATCCACGACCACCATTATGGAATCTTTGTTTCTTTGAGTGCGGGGCAGGCCAACAACAAAATCAATACTGATATCAACCCAAGGAGAACAGGGGACTGGTAAAGGGGTATACAGTCCGGCGTTAGAACTCGTAGTCTTGGCTTTCTTACAGATAATGCAACTTCGGACGTATCTTCCTACATTTTTTTTTAGTGCAGGCCAAAAAAAATGTTCAGTCAACAAACTTACTGTTTTATCTCTTCCGAAATGCCCGGACAGACCACCCGCATGACTTTCTTCTATCAGCGCCAACCGTAGTGAACAATTGGGTATACAAATCTGTTGTTTATAAAAAAGATAACCTTCTTTAACGTGGAACAATCTGAAAGGTCCTTCCTGACATTGTTTCCAAATGTCCTGAAAATCAGGATCATTGTGATAGAGATCCTTGATGGCTTCAAATCCCACCACCTTAGTTTGTAACGTATGCAGCAGCAACTACGTTAATCAAAGGCTGACAAGAACTCCGACCAATGAGCATGTCTATCTTTCAACTTCTTTTGATGACTTAGGAAGCGAAGGGCTTCGTGATCAGAAAAGAGTACAAATTCATTTGCAAGCAAATAATGGCTCCAATGTTGTAAAGCCCGGACAATAGCATAAAATTCTTTATCATAAGTTGTGTATTTGCGTCGGGTCTCACTCAGTTTTTCACTGAAATATGCAACTGGATGACCACCTTGTGTAAGCACAGCTCCAATGCCCACATTTGATGCATCACATTCTACCTCAAAGACTTTATTGAAGTCAGGTAAAGTCAGGATGGGCGCCGAGGACAGATGACTTTTTAAGGCTTCAAAACTGACTTGAGCTCGTTGATCCCATTCAAACTTGTCAGTTTTCAAAAGCTCTGTCATTGGGGCAGCAATAGAGCTAAAATTACGAATAAACCTCCGGTAGAATGATGCTAAACCATGGAACCTTCGGATATCAGTGAATGACTTGGGAGTAGGCCAATTACGAATTGCTTCAATCTTGTTTAAATCCACCTTTAATCCTTCGGCTGAAAGTTCATAGCCCAGAAAAGAAATGTGAGAGACAGCAAACTGACATTTGTCAAGATTCACAAACAGTTGTTGCTCTCGGAGGAGATCAAGTACTTGTCTGAGATGCAGACGATGCTCTTGAAGGTCACGGCTGTAGATAAGGACATCATCAAAATAGGCAATCACAAACTTAGTAAGAAAAGGTTGTAATATATGGTTCATGAGACGCATGAATGTACTGGGTGCATTGGTCAAGCCGAACGGCATAACCAACCACTCATATAATCCTTCGTGAGTCTTAAATGCTGTCTTCCATTCATCTCCCTGTCTCATTCGTATCTGATGGTAACCACTCCTCAAATCTAGTTTGGAAAAAATGGACGACCCTTGTAACTGGTCGAACAGATCATCAATGCATGGAATTGGAAACCGGTACTTCACAGTAATTTTATTAACCGATCTGCTATCAATACACATCCTATAAGTTCCATCTTTCTTTGGAACTAATAAGGCGGGCACGACACAAGGACTGACGCTATGTCTCACAAACCCTTTATCTAGTAACTCCTGGACTTGTCGTTTGAGTTCAATCTGTTCATCCGGTCGGAGCCTATAAGCTGGGCGGTTAGGAATCACTGCTCCAGGTACAAAATCAATAGCGTGCTGAATCTGCCTTTCGGGTGGCAGTTCTGAAGGTAGTTCAGTTGTAAGAACATCTCTATAGTTGTCTAATATATCTTGTACCTCTACTGCTTCACTGCAACTAAAATCATTGGGTAACATAACAACTAACAGAAACCCAATTCCAGCTTCTTTGAAAGCTTTCAAGAATAATGATCTTGTCAACAGTTGAGGGCTCTGTTGATTAGATTGAGGCCCCTGTAGGGGAGCCAACAAAATTTTCTTGTTGTTGTATTTGAAGGAATAAGTATTCGTTTCACCATCATGGATAGTTTTTCGGTCGAACTGCCATGGGCGGCCCAACAAAAGGTGACAAGCATCCATAGGAACTACATCACACCATACTTGTTCTTCAAAAGTGCCAATAGAGAATTTGACGAGACACCTTTTGGTTAACTTAACTTCATTGTCTTTTTGTATCCAAGACAAAGTGTATGGTTTGGGATGATTTTCTGTAGTCAGTGCCAGTTTTTCCACCATGGTATTTGATACCACATTTTCGCAACTCCCACTGTCAATTATCATTTGACATACTTTTCCACCAACTGTGCATCTAGTTTGGAAAATACTATGTCTTTGACTAACATCTTCTTTTTGTGAGCTTAACAATCTACGAAGAACAAGTAGACTTCCTTCATCTGCCGTAATGATCGTAGTTTCAGTCGTAGGTGATTGCGACATACCTTCTACCACGGCTTCACCATCTTCTTCTGTTTCAGGATCGGCCTCCTCCATAAGAGTGATAATTCTTCGATTTGGACACCCTGAAGCAATGTGACCAAAGCCTTGACATTTGAAACATTTCCTTGGGGCTAGACCTCCACTTCCAGCTAACTTATGTGTTCCAACTGTATTTTTACTAAATTCTTTATTCCCTGATGACATTCCTGTAGATTTTTCCTCCGATTTCTTGAATGAACTTCGATGATCTCCCAACTCGGTAACTGTAGTTTTTCCACGACTCCATTTGTTTGGGCATTGCTGTTTCTCCACTTTTAGAGATAGGTTAAACACATCTTGTAATGTCCAATATGGTTGTAATTGGACAATATTGGCAATTGATGCATTCAATCCTTCCAAGAAACGAGCCATGGTGTTCTCCTCAGGCTCAGCTAAATCACATTGTAGAGATAGGTGTTCGAATTCAGCAATATACTTTTCAACCGAGAGATGATTCTGCTGTAATCAATGGAGTTTCAGGAACAATTCTTGGCGATATCTTTCTGGTAAATACTTGCGTTGAAGCTCTTTCTTCATTTTTGTCCATGTTGTAATTTTGCTGCGCCCCTCACGGTTTCGACTGCGCTTTAAATTCTCCCACCATAGAGAAGCGCTTTTCTTCAGCTTAATGGCGACAATCTTGACAACCTGATCTGGTGGAATTTCCTTGAAATCAATGATTCGTTCTATGGTGTATAGCCAATTTATGAACTCATCAGGATCTAATCGACCATCAAAATCTGGCAAATCTATTTTTACTCCGGCATCATCCCTGCGGGGTTTCCTCCGACCAGGTACATTTCTTCTTTCCTCATCTTCACTGTGAGATTCTTGATGAAACGGGTTCGTCTCTT